ACACACTGGGCACGTGTGTGTAGCACGCCCAGAATCCTGGAAAGAGAATGGAGAAGAAGGGATTGCAGCATGGCCATCCCTCCGGTGGGGAAGGTGGTTTTTCACTTTCTTCTCTGTGTCTCCATCTCTCTCCAGCGAATGTGTGTGCTCTGTGGCAAAAATCATAAAAACAAGCAAGCAAGCAAACAAACATTTTGAATTATTTTCCTGTGATAAAATCGATCTTTTGCAAAGGGTCATGTTCATCCTAAAATTTCACGTATTGTCTGTACTCTGCCGTGTGCTGTTCTCTAAAAGTCTGTATTACCGAAGTTTGATAAATAGTGAACACTTTGATGGCACGTACTAGCTCCTTTAATTATGTAGTCCTGGGATCAGAGTATCTAATGCACAGTATATGTTAAATACATGTTGAAAAAATGAATGAATGCAAGTTTAGAGGTTTAGTATTAGAATACTAGTGTTAAATATTAGCATTGTAAAATTTTAATTATCTCATAGGAAATATGACTACAACATTGTTTATGTTATATGGGTTTTTTAAAATCACTTCCTGGTCTACAAATGTAACAAAATCTTTTATTTTACTTTTTATAGTTAAAAGTGTAACATACAGAGGGAAGATCACATAAAGTAAATATTTAGCACACCGAATTTCCACACACTCAGTACTCAAACAACCAAACACTTACATCAATAAATAAGCTTTTACTTTTTCTTGTTCCATAGAAGTTCTTTCATATTCTCATCTCTAGTCATTGCAGGGTTGTTTTTATTTTTACTTTTTGGATAGAGAGAGAGAAAGGGGAAGGCTTTCCCAACAATAGGGAGTGGTCAGGCCTTCATCCTTTCTTCCCCATCTCTCCCTCCTGTTGGAATTTTGGGCATAGACGTATGCCTACCATGTTTTTTAAGCCACCTCCTCTAGGATTTGAACCACATGGTCAGCCTTGTGGGACCCCGCTGCCTTAATTAGTCACCGGGCCACAGAACTGGCCTTTGCTAGCCTTTTTAACAGCATAGGTTAGTTCCACAAAATCATTTTTCACTTGAATGTAATTAAGATAAGTGAAAAATTATTAAATAAAAAAATTTAATGACAAATCAAGTTAATGACTTAGTATTCATTCATAGTAATCAACATTACAAAATAGAAAGTTTATTTTTTAAGTACGTCCAGTGGTTTACTTTAGGACTTGATTATTTTTAGTCTTTTAATTTATACAAAGCAGAAAACGCAATTAAAATGATTTGTAATGGGGCCAGCAGGTGGCATGGAAGTTAAGGCAGCCAAATTCCACATGGCTGGCTGCATGGTTCAAGTCTTAGGTCCAGTGGCTTAAAAAACATGTGGTGCACATGTATGTAAAGGGAGAACAGAAGACAAGGGATTGTGGTGTGGCCATCTGAGGGATAATTTCTCACTTTCCCTCTCGCTGTCTTTCCAGGGAGCACACTCACTAATAACGAAAACTAAAAAAAGAAAGTCATAATGACCACACTCTTGTACCCTGTTCAACGCGAAGTTGTTAATAATAAGTATTAAGTAATAATCATTCTAACTTTTGTTAAAAAACCATGAGCAGTAAATTCTTTTGAGCTCTTATATCTGATAGTTAAGTTACCCTGATTTTTATTTGACTTTCATTTGTTTAGAGTAGTAATTCGCAACAGAGAGGGGGTCTGATTTTGTCTCCCAGGGAACATTTGAACATTTTTTTGGTTGTCATAACTGGAGGGTGCTACTGACATCTAGTGGGAAAGGCCTGGAATGATGTTAAACTTAATTAACAGGATCCTCTCCACCTTTCACAAAAAAAGTATTATCTAATTCAAAATGTCAGTAGTGCCAAGATCAAGAATAGTATTTTCTAAAGAATGGGTGTGCTGTTTATATTTAATTCAGGTTAGCTCAGACAGCTTATAGCACTTTACTAATGGAATCCAAGGTTCTAGGAATTTAATTCCAATAAGTACTTCTTAATTTCTCTGTAGTCCATGACACCCCAAGCAGATGTTTTGGACCTTCCTGCTACTGATTAGAAAGAGATAAGACCAGGGGGCTGGCAGGTGGCATAGTGGATAAAGGCGCTGGTTTCCCAAATGGCCAACCATGGTTCGAGTCCTGGACCTAGTGACTTGCATTCTCACTTTCCCTTTCTCTCTCTCATCAAATTTTTAAAAAATAATAATAACAGGGACCAGCAGTTAATGTAATGCCTATGTCGCTGGACTCCCATGTAGTCAACCGCGGTTCGAGTCCCAGATCCAGTGACTTAAACTCATACCGGGCGCGTGTGCGTGCGTGCCCAAGATCCCGAAAGGAGAATGGAGGAGAAGGGATTGCGGCATGGCCATCCCCCCTGAGGGGTGATTTCTCACTTTTTGTCTCTCTGTCTCTCTTTGTCTCTCTGGCAAGCGCACGTGCCCTATAGCAATAAAAAAACCTCTCCGAAATAAAAGAAAAAAATAATAGTAACAAATGGAATTAAATAAATAAATAAATCTAAAAAGAGAGAGAGAGATGAGACCATGTAGACAGCTTGGTATAAATCCTTCACCACTTCTGGAAAAACATCTCAAAGCATAATGGTTTTTTATTTATTTATTTATTCTTGGAGAGCTTTTGCTATAGGGCTCATGTGCTCACCAGAAAAAAAAAAGAGAGAGAGAGAGACAGAGAGACAGAAAGCAATAAATCACCCCACAGGGGGATGGCCACAAGGCTTGTGACATTGATCATCTATAGGCTTGAGGCTGAGTGAATGAGATTCTATGGGTAGGCAATCACCCAGCCTAACCATGGCCTCACGCCACCTACAGGGAGGCATTAAGTTGAGAGCCCCTACACGCCACAAATGTTCACACGCACACATGCCCACCATTTGCTTTTCTTCCAGTAGTTATTGAAGGTCAGAAACACTAGCTTGCACATCAATGTTCATAATAATGTTAAAAATTAATATCTGTTGGGTCAGCAGGTGTCATGGCGGTTAAAGCACTGGATTTCCATATAGCCAACCACAGTTCAAGTTCCAGACCTAGTACCTTGAAAATCATACCAGATACATATGTGTACCTGCCCAAAATCTAGAGAGGAGAATGGAGAACGGGTTGCGGTATGGCCATCCCCCACGGGAAGAGATTTTTCCACTTTCCCTCTCTCTGTTTCTCCCCAGTGAGTATATGTGTCCTGTACTCAAAACCTAAAAAAAAAAAAATCCAGTTTTTTAAAAAGTTAGTATCTGATAAAGTTGTTTTCTCAGGGAATGGTTTTTCATGTATTTCATTGTCCCCTGTGAGCTTACTCCATCCTTGCCATGTTGGCCTACCATGAACAAAAACCACATTTGAGGCATGGCCCAGAGCAGACGTTAGTGTTCAAGAAAGAATTATGGTTATATATACCAATTTTGACTTTCATATAAAATGTTTACCTAAAAATATTACCTCAGAGAACATTATAACAAACCAGGATTTTGGGAGTTCTAACTGTAAATCTCTAAGTCCTTAACTGTAGTGAAGAAGATTGGTTTAGAGTTTGGTCATTTGATTTCACTCCTTTAGTTGTGAAAGGAAATATAAATAAAAACATTACACTATTTTATTGTATTGTATTATAGAAGATAATTTTTTTCAGAGATATTTGTGCTATGGAGCACATGCACTCACCGGGGAGACAGAGAGAGACAGAGACAGAAAATGAGAAATCTCACACACACACACACACACACACACACCCGGTGAGGGGTAGGATGGCTACACTGCAATCCCTCCTCCTCCACTCTCCTCTCAAGCTCTTGGGGATGCATGCACATGTACCTAGTATGAGTTTCAAGCCACCAGGTCCAGTATTCAAACCGCAGTTGGTCATATGGGGGTCCAGCACCTTAACCACTATGCCACCTGCAGGCCCCAGAAGTAATATTTTTTAGTCTTAAGAAGAAGTGAAGTAGGGACCAGCAGTTGGAGTAATGGCTATGTTGCTGGACTGCCATGTAGCTGACCATGGTTCAAGTCCCGGATCCAGTTGTTTAAACTCACACTGGGCGCGTGTACGTGCGTGCCCAAGATCCCAAGAGGAAAACGGAGGAGAATGGATTGCTGTGTGGCCATCTCCCCAGGGGCTGATTTTTCGCTTTCTGTCTCTCTTTGTCTTTCTGGTAAGCGCACGTGCCCTATAGCAAAAACCTCTACCCACCCCCCACCCCCCCAAAAAAAGTGATGAAATATATTTCTTAATGCTCTAGGTTATTTTTAGTTTTTTTAAGCTTATTTATTTTGAGAAAGAGAAAAGTACCTTTAATAGGATCTTAGCATGCCACGATTTTCCTCCCTATCCCCACTCCCCACCTTCAGTCAGCCAGGATCACAGGCATGCCTTGTGTGTTCACGTCAACCTGGGATCCAGACTCTGGGCTTTCCACATGACTCCAGTATCACAAAGTGCTATCCTACCATCTGTGCCACCACAGCTGGGTATATGCAAAGAGAGCCAGGATCTGAGTAGCTAGAGGGCTGGGGAAAGAGGATCACTGCATGGCAAGACCGTGTTGAGGGTTCCCCTTTCTTTCTCCCCTTTATCTCTCTCTCTCTCTCTCCCTCCCTCCCTCTCTCTCTCTCTCTCTCTCTCCCCCCCTCCCTTCTCTCTCTTGTTTGCACATTCACATGCTATAATTTTCATTGCTTTTTTAATTTGGGGGAAATAAAAGACTATATTCAAGTCTTGAGATCTGAACAGATAAGTATTATTTACTGCTTCATCAAGGATATTCTTGAGAAATTGGCATTTTTTTTCCCCACAGCACGTATGTGTCAGAAAGGAATACAACTAATAGCATATTGTATGTCACTTCCTTGATTCTGGACAAGTCACCAGCAGTCTCACCCCCACTGCTTTTCCCCCATCAGTGGGAATGTCAATACAGAAAATTATACCGAATTTTTAAAATGTGCTCTTTCCACTAACCAGGCTTTGTTCTTTCTCTGTGTGGCTATAGATCCTAATTATCTCATGGCTAATGAACGCATGAACCTGATGAATATGGCCAAACTGAGTATCAAGGGCTTGATTGAATCAGCTCTGAACTTGGGGAGGACTCTCGACTCGGACTACGCACCTCTCCAGCAATTCTTCGTGGTGATGGAGCACTGTCTGAAACATGGTTTGAAAGGTAGGCCAGGACCTCAGAATGCAAATACGCATGCAGCTGTTTCCTGTATAGGAATAAGGTTATGATTGGCTTAATGACTTACAGCGCTTAAAAAAAATACACATCATTACACATTAAAGCTGGAAGGGCCATTGTAAGTAACCAGATATAATACAGCAGTTCTGTTTGACAGGTGGAAATAGGCCTATCTCAAGTAGATTCTGACTTGTCTTGCCCAAGGTCACATGTTGAGTTGGGGCCAAGTAGGTGCTCAGGTCTCCTGGCTCTGTGTCAGTGCTCTTCCCATTAAATGAAAGCTTTCCAGGACAGGATTAGTCTTGTTTGCCTTTGTTTCTTTCCATCTTGCCTTCCCAGTATTCCATAGCCTGTTTCTGGATGACATATTCTTGTCCATTGGTTTTCTTCACTAGTACACATAGTTTGAAGTACTATATTGTTGTTTATTAGATTTATAGTACTAAGCCACAAATTCTTCCTGAAAGAAGGACTGAGTCTTAGGGAGTAAAGGATTTTTTATTTGCACAAAATATTGGGTCATCAGGAAAATCATGGTGCATTCTGCATAGAAAAACATGGAAAAATACATCATGACTTTCTCAAGAACCCACTATTATCTGTTCTGAAACAAGAGTAATTTTTCAGCTGTTCAATAATCTGAGATTTGTTTTCTGAAAAGGACATAGATGGACGTGTTGTGTGTTGTGTGTGTGTATGTGTGTGTGTGTGTGTGTGTGTGTCGAGGATGTGTTTATGTGGTAAGAAGTATTAAAATATTTCTTTGTTTTTATTTCCTTAGCTAAAAAAACTTTTCTTGGACAAAATAAATCCTTCTGGGGTCCTCTAGAACTGGTAGAAAAGCTTGTTCCAGAAGCTGCAGAGATAACAGCAAGTGTCAAAGATCTTCCAGGACTTAAGTAAGTGCAATGTTGAAATCTGTTTCACAGGAATATCATTCTTATTAACTGTCTCCTTAAAGAGGAAGACTAGGGTCAACAAGTGACATGATGGTTAAGGTGCTGGATTCCCACATGGCCACCCTTGGTTCAACTTTTGGACCTGACAGTTTGAAAATCACACCAGGTGTGTGTACAAACATGCCCAAAATCCCAAGAGGAAAATGGAGGAGAAGGGATTGCAGCCTGACCATCCCCCTTAAAGGGGTGATTTCTCATTTTTCCTCTCTCTGCAACAAGCACACATGCCCTATAGCAATTAAAAAAAAAAATCTAAAAGAAAAAGAAAATCACGCCAGGGGGGTGTGCATGGGTGCCCAAAATCCCAGGAGGAGAATGGAGGAGAAGGAATTGTGATGTGGTCATTCCCACTGCAGGTGACTTCTCACTTTCCCTGTCTCTCTTTCTCTGTTTCTCCCCAGCAAGCCTATGTGCTTTACAGCAAAAACATTTAAAAAAAAAAAAAAAAAAGTGAAACTAAAGATAATGTTCATAATAATTTATTTTTAAACAATCCAAAGTGTATAATGTTGTCTGTATAGCACATTATAAGAGAACTGGTATGTAGACTATTAACAGTATGCCATGGGAGATAATTATTCATCTCTGGGCTTGTCGTCATATTGAAATATCAGACATTTACTTGTTTTTTAAAGCACTTTTGAGAATCACTTAGTGAGCTTCTAGAAACTCAATGTAGGGAGGCAACCTGCCAGGCTTGATTTAGGAAAAAGAATGTGATAGGGTTTGAGATCCGGGATTGGAACAGTTGGTAAGCGAACCTTGGGAACTGGCACCCATAAGTCTGCCTTACAACTTCAATGAGAGCAGTGGTCACCTTTCCAAATGAGATGGGTTTAATTTTAATTAGAGGCCTAAATTAATTTGCCTGTGTCGTTATTAGTGTTGGGGGTACTTCTATAATCCACACTAAATTTCTGAGGATTTACCAATACCAGTCTGATAAAATATTTTCAGTTGGGCCTTCTAGAGCTCTTATCTTCAAATTGTAGCCACATTTAGTAATTAATTTGTTTCAAGAGCACTTATGCTCAGTAGCACACACAGAATTCCTTACATAGGAATGTGGTATGAAAGGTCGTGAGAACCACCTAAGAGTGCATGTTACCCTGGAAAACCTTTAGCAAGAACAAGTGACTCTGTTCCTTTGTAGTCCTACCTCTATTACTGATATTCAGTTGTTTGGTTTTTGTGTCTTTGTAGGACTCCAGTAGGCAGAGGAAGAGCCTGGCTACGTTTGGCATTAATGCAAAAGAAACTTTCAGAATACATGAAAGCTTTGATCAATAAGAAGGAACTTCTCAGGTATGAATACCTTTTTTTTGAACTTTCTTCTTTCCTTGCTATGTTCTACATTATATAAAATTGAACTATATAAATTTCACATTTATGTAGGTTAGAAACAATTGATTCACGACAAGTTCATTAATAATTTCTCCCGCAACTCACACCCAAATGAATATTTTATATTATATGTGTTTTGTCTGTCAATGTGTTAGGTCAGGTCAAAACTTAACACTTGCCGAAAACAAGGAAAGCTTTTAACACTTTAGCATGTGCCCAGGTTCAAGAAGAAAGTAAGTTGACACGTAGCATTAAATTCAAATATAGCACAAATAAATTTCCAGATGGTTGTAGATATAAGTGGGAAAGATAAAACAACAAAATGTTTAGAAGAAAACATAAGGCAAGCAAAAATTTCTTAAACAGGATGCAAAAGTGCTATCTCTAAAGAAAAAAATAGATAAATTAATTCACATCAAAACAAAGAACTTCTGGGACCAGCAGATGGCATAGCAGTTATGTCGCTGGATTCCCACAAGGCCAATCGTGGTCTGAGTCCCACACCTGGAGTGTGTGCATACATGCCCAAGATCCCAGGAGGAGAAAGGATTGCAGCATGGCCATAACCCCGGGGTGATTTCTTACTTTCCCTCTCACCAAATCTGTCTCTCTCTGTCAAGTGCATGCTGCCTAAGACAAAAACCTCTAAAAAAATAAAAAACTTCTGTTCATCAAAAGATACTTGGGCTGGTTGGTAGAGAAGTAGTTAAACATTATAAGTAGAGAGCTAGATCCCATACAGCCATTAACAATTCCAGTCCCAGACCCAGCAGCTTGAAAAACTCACCAGGCATGTTTGCGTGCATGCCCAAAATCCCAAGAGGAGAATGGAGAAGGGACTGTGGCATGGCTACTCCCCAGGAAGTGATTTCTCGCTTTCTGTCTCTCTGTCTCTCCAGAAAGTGCATGTGCCCTATAGCAAAAAATATCTAAAAAAAAAAAAGAGTGAAAGGCAACTCAGAGAGAATAAAGGTGATAGTTCTTCAAAAAAAGATACATATTCCAAGTATGTGAATAACTTCAAGGGCTAGGTGGTGGTCCAGCAGCAAAATGCGATATCTGCAAGCTACACCTACATTGTAAGTTTTCTGATTTGCAACAGAGACCTCACTGAGTACACTGGCTACATGCATGACTGTGATCCAAGGCCAGGTGAGAGTAAATTTTAATTTAAACACCCTGTTGGGAGTGCTGACTCTGTCTCTCTCTCTCTCCCTTTCTGTGTCTCTCACTGATGAAAGAAAGAAATCTAAGAAGAAAAAGAAAGAACTCCATTCCAGTAAGATAAATATAGACAAATATAAAAATGGGTAAAATATTTGAACAGGTATTTCACAAAAGAAGAAATCAAAATGGCTAGTAAATGTATAAAAAGATACCCAAGGGAACCAGCAGTGGTGTAATGGCTATGTTGCTGGACTCCCATGTAGTCAACCGTGGTTCAAGTCCCATACCCCGTGGCTTAAACTCAACATTGGACACATGTGCGTGCGTGCCCAATATCCCAAGAGGAGAATAGAGGAGAAGGGATTGCAGCATGGCCATCCCCCCTGGGGGGTGATTTCTCGCTTTCTGTCTGTCTCTGTCTTTCTGGTGAGCGCATGTGCCCTATAGCAAGAAGAAAAAAAAAAAAAAAGATACCCAACTTCACTAGCTGTGATGTAAATACAAATAAAACAACAATGTGATGCTGCTCTATATCCACCAAAATGGCTAATATGAAGTGAAAAAAGACAGATGAGACCAAGGGTGGTGAGGATATGAACTAACTTTAATGTTCTGCAGATGGGAGAGTTATTGGCCCAGAAATTAGGAAGATTGGCACTATCTGTTGGAGCCCATGATAAGTATACCTTATAATCTAGGAATGCTACTTAGTATTTCCAGTAGAAATACAGTTATAGTCCACAAAAGTCAGGAATGTTCATACGTATTGTGATATTCATAATTGCTCCAAATGTTTATAACAGACCCCCAGTCAGCGGGTAACTAAGTTGTAGTATATTCATACAATGAAACACCATATAGGAACTACACACAGCCATGTGGATCGATCTCACATGTAAGTTGAGCAAGGAAAATGAATCACAGAACAATACATTATATACTGTTCCGTTTATATACAAAATGAACCTTTCCTGATCATCAGGAAAGAGGCTACTGTTAGCCAGGTTAGGGTAGGACAGTATCAGGGAGCAGGAGAGGGCAAAAGGTGGGTTATGAGGTTCTGGTAACATACTACTTCTTAATCTGGGTGCTAGTCACGTGAGTGTGTATTCTTTATGGAACTAATCTAGCTGTATTATAGGATTTGTTTACTTTTTTATATATACCTTATTTAAAATTTAAATACATTTTTAATTTACCAAAGGACATTAAATTTACCAAAGGAAATTCATCTATAACAGGTTACCTCTGAGAAATATTTTTTATTTTATTTTATTTAACTTTATTTATTTATTTAATTTGACAAGAGGGGGATAAAGTGAGGGGAGGGGAGAAAATAAGAAAGCAAGTTGCCAGGTCCAGGATTTGAACTATAGTCGACCGTGTGGGAGTCTGGCACCTTTAACCATCACACCACCTGCTGGCCCCTCTCTGAGAAATAATTTAAGAGGAAAAACAAGTGACAGTTTTTTTATATGACTGGATTTTAAAAAAACTAGATTTTACAAGAAATTGTGCTGTAGATCGTAATGAAGCATTGTTTTGATATTGCTGGCAGTACATATGCCATCACTGTTTTCTTGCCTAAGAAAATTAGATCAGAGCCAACTAGGTGCCATAGTGCTTAAGCTGGCTGAACTCCTACATCGCTAACTGGGGTTCAAGTCCCAGATCTGGAGGCTTGCTTTCTCACTCTCCTTGTCTCCCTCTCTCTGATCAAATTTAAAAAACAATAATAATTATAATATAACAAATAAAATTAAATAAATAAGTCTTTTAAAAAATGTTGAATTCTTATTTTTAAAAAATTAAATCAGGGAACCAGCAGTTAGCGTAATGGCTATGTCGCTGGACTCCCACGTAGCCGACCGCGGTTCGCGTCTCGGACCCGGTGGCTTAAATCTCACGCCGGGCGCGTGTGCGTGCGTGCCCAAGATCCCGAGAGGAGAAGGGATTGCGGCGTGACCATCCCCCCTGGGGGGTGATTTCTCGCTTTCTGTCTCTATGTCTCTCTCTGTCTGTCTGGCGAGCGCACGCGCCCTATAGCGAAAACCTCTCAAAAAAAAAAAAAATTAAATCAGAGCCAGCTAGGTGGTGTGGGGATCAAAGTGACTGGATCCCACATGGCTATTTGCACAATTGAGTCCTGGACCTGATGGCCTGAAAAACATGCTGAGCACATGTATATGTGTGCCCAAAGTCCCAAAGGGAGAATGAAAGAGAAAAGATTGTGGTGTGGTCATCCCCACTAGGGGGATGACTTCTCACTTTCGCGCTCTCTATGCCTCCCTCTCTCTCTCTCTCTAGGTACACACGCTCTATAGCAAATTTTAAAAAATTAAATCTGGAGAAAGAGAAACAAGAGCCATTGAAGAGAACTTGTTTATTTTCACAAAGGGAGAGTTCAACTTCCCAGGGATCAAACCCTTGAGGTGGTATAGGGTCAACTGTTGAAGCTATAGATGGCTGTAGAAGAATGCCTTTGATCAAAATAACAGTTCAAAGTGAGGTCTGAAGAATGAATTCATTGTCCAGCAGGGCTGGATCCAGAGTAAATGGATCCAGTCTTGTGAACTGGGCAGGTAAGTTCTTTTTTTTAAAGAGAGATTTTTGCCATAGGGCACATGCAGTTTCTGGAGAGACAGAAAGAGACAAACAGATGGAAAGCAAGAAATCAACCCCCAGGGGGGATGGCCATGCCACAGTTTCTTCTCTGTTCTCCTCTCGAGATTTTGGCAATGTGCGCACATGCGCCTGATGTTGAATTTTACACAGGAGTCCAACGACGTAACCATGCCATCTGCTGGTCCCAACAGAACAGTTCTTTTCACACAGCTTCACTTACTGTGACATAGCAGTTTCACTCCTTGGTATGTCTAACATGAATATATATGTGCTGTACTGTTCTAGCAAGCACTAGAGCTTCCATACACAGAAAACAACCAAGATGTCAACAATAGTAAATAGAACAGAGCCAGAGAGTGACATAGTAGTAACACAACTGGACTCACATGTGAAGGTCCCTGGTTCATGTCCAGGGCCTGCTTCTATAAACTAGGCATGCATACACATACGTATAAGCCAAGCCAGCTGAGAATGGATCCCAGCATGAGGACCCTGTTATGGGTGCCTGTCTCTCTACCTCAGTCTCTGTCATCTCTCCATTTCTCTCTTTCTCTCTCTCATGGAAGAAATAGATAAATTTTAATAAATAAATGAATAAATAGAACGGATATACTGTGGTATATTCCTACTTTGTAATACTGTCCAGCAGTGAAAACACGTGAACTATACCTACATACAACAATATGAATCTCACAATTAAAGCATTGCAAAAAAAAAAAAAGTAGCCAGATACAAAAAGTATGTGTAGGGCCAGCAGGTAGTGTAGTGGTTAAAGCACTAGATTCATATGGCTAATCACAGTTGAGGTCCAGACCAGGCAGCTTGAAAATCACACTGGGCACATGAACATGCATGCCCCAAATCCCAAGAGAACGGAGGAGAAGGGATCGTGGCCATCCCCCAGGGGAATGATTTCTTGCTTTCCCTCTCAGTCTCTCTCTCTCGCTCTCTCTCTGTCTCCAAAGACTATACTCTCTCCAGAGCAAAAACCTAAAAAAAAAAAAAAATGGATATGATATGTAATAAACAAATTGAGGCTATAAACATAAAGCACCTTTAAGCTATTATGCATGTGGCCTATTAGGAAACTTTTGCTAATTAATGAAAAAGCAGATATATATAACTCAATAGTTCACAAATTTTTTTAGACAGAGATTTTTGCCCATAGGGCACGTGCGCTTGCTGGGGAGACATAGAGACAAAAAGCAAGAAATCACTCCACAATCCATTCTCCATTCTTCTCTTGGGATTTTGGGCACAAATGCACACTCACATGATGTGAATTTTGAGCTGCCAGGGCCGGGACTCAAACCACAGTCGACTATGTGCAAGTCCAGTAATGTAACCATTATGCCATCTGCTGTTCCCAGCAGTTCACGTTTTTAAAATGTTTATTCAGTGCATTAAATAGAATGGAAACACAAAAAGCAAATCAGAAAAAGGGTACTTTTTAAAAACTCATCCAAAGAAAAATACTTTTTTTTTTTTTTTAAGACTTTTGCCATAGAGCACATGCACTTGTCAAAGACAGAGAGAGGACCAACCAGTTAGCGTAATGGCTATGTTGCTGGACTCCCATGTACTCAACCGCAGTTCGCGTCCCGGACCCGGAGGCTTAAAACTCATGCCGGGCACATGTGTGTGTGTGCCCAAGATCCCGCGAGGAGAATGGAGGAGAAGGGATTGCAGCGTGGTCATCCCCCCTGGGGGGTGATTTCTCACTTTCTATCTCTCTGTCTCCCTCTGTCTGTCTGGTGAGCACACGCGCCCTATTGCAAAAACCTCTCTAAAAAAAAAAAAAAAAAAGACAGGGAAAGAAAGAAAGTGAGAAATCACTTCTAAAATGGGAAGGGCAAGCTGCAATCCCTTCTCCACTCTCCTCCTGGGATTTTGGGCACACACGCACACATGCCTGGCATGATTTTCAAGCCACCAGGTCCAGGACTCAAAGCCACGGTTGACCATGTGAGAGTCCAGCCCCGTAACCATCATGTCACTTGCTGGCCTCACCAAAGAAAACTTTGTAAGATGCCTAAAAGATTGAAGAATCATTCAATTTTACATAGCAAACACAAATATGCCAGAAAAATCTGAATTCTCACTCCAACCACAGTATCATTCTGATCACATTTCTTTCAGCCAGACTGTTATCAAAGAGTCGATTTATGTATCAATTATTTTTTAAATAATTATTTTATTCATCATTATTATTTTTTAATTTGACCAGAGAGATACAGAGAAAGAGGGAAAGTGAGTCCAGCATCCCAACCACCATGCCATTGCTGGCCCATGTACCTATTATTTAAGTAATTTGGGAGCCAGCAGGTGGTGTGGTAGTTGCGGCACTGGATTCCCACATAGCCAGCCGACAGCAGTTTGAGTCCCGGACCTGGTGGCTTACTTTCTCACTTTCTCTCTGGAGCCTTACTTTCTCTATTGCTATGTCTCTTTCTTTCTTTCTGGTGAGTGCACATACCCTATAGTAAAATTAAAAAGTAATAATGATAGGGACTAGCAAGTGGTGTAATGGTTACATCACTGGACCCCCATGTAGTCGACTGCAGTTCGAGTCCCAGATCCAGTAGCTTAAAACTCACACTGGCATGTGTGTGTGCATGCCCAAAATCCCAAGAGGAGACTGGAGTAGGGATTGCAGTATATCCATCCCCCCTGGAGGGGTGATTTCTTGCTTTCTATCTGTGTCTCTCCAGCAAGCACATGCATCCTATAGCAAAAATCTTTCTTGGGACCAGCAGATGGCATAATGGTACATTGCTGGACTCCCATGTAGTCGACCACAGTTTGAGTTCTGGACCCGGTGGCTTAAACTCACACTGGGCACGTGTGCGTGTGCACCCAAGGTCCCAAGAGGAGAATGGAAGAGAAGGGATTGTGGCATGGCCATCCCCCTGGGGAGTGATTTCCCTCTTTCTTTCTGTCTGTCTGTCTTTCTGGCAAGTGCACATGCCATACAGCAAAAACCTTTCCAAAAATAAATAAATAAATAACTCTTTCTCAAAAAAATAAAGATAATAAATAAAATTTTTATTATTTATTTATAAAAGCTTTTGTTTTCTGCTATTATCATAAATGACTATATTTGATCATGACACAAGTATTTTCTCTTTTTCTCATGGTTACATTATTGCATTTTTGAGCTTTATTATGATAGAGAATTCTGTAATTTCTCTTACAGTGAATTCTATGAACCCAATGCCCTCATGATGGAAGAAGAAGGGGCCATAATTGCTGGTCTCTTAGTGGGTTTGAATGTTATTGATGCCAACTTCTGTATGAAAGGAGAAGATCTAGACTCTCAGGTATGGTCAATGTACTCAGTGACCAAGTGTATCACTCTGAATTGTATTTGGATTGATTAGACTGTACCAACCAAATGTGGAAAATTCTGTGAGTTATAAATAGAATTTCATTTTCTTTTCTTTCTTTCTTTCTTTTTTTTTTTTTTTTTTGCCAGAGAGTGTATGCATTTGCCAGAAAAAGAGAGAGAGAAGAGGAAATAACCCCCAGGGGAGTGGTCATACTTCTCTTCTCCATTTCTCCCTCCTTTTAGGGTTTAGGTGCACACACACATGAACCTGGCATGATTCTCAAGTTCCCAGGTCCAGAACTCGAACCATTGCAATTGGCTATGTGGTTCTAGCTGACCACAGGACTGACCCGATTTCATTTCATTTTAATAGATTTTTGGGACTAGCAGGTAGCTTGGAGGTTGAGGCAGCTTATGTTCAAATTCTGGCTTCATTTTCTAGCTGAAAATACATACTTTTTTCTTTTTAATTTGGATACTACACTAATACTATACTATACTAATAGTGTACATATTTTAATTTTTATGCCAGAGGGCATGTACATGAACATGTGTGTGTGTGTGTGTGTGTGTGTGTGTATGTGTGTGAGAGAGAGAGAGAGAGAGAGAGAAGGAAAACTTCCCCCAACTGGGCCTGGTCATACTGCAATTATTTTTCCTCCAGTTCTCCATCCCATCAGGATCCCGGACATGCATGTGCACGCCCAGCATGTAAGCCACTGTGGGTGGCCATGTGGGATCAGGCTTCCTCTGCTATGCAGCTAACTGCTGCTGTACTACTGTTCCTTGCTCAATATTATATTCAGCAGCTATATATATTATATAGTTACTTAGTTTCTTGGAATTCCAATTCCTTAATATAATATGGAGTTTAAAAAGAGTATCTAGGAACCAACAAGTGGTGTAATGGTTACATCGCTGGATTCCCACATAATTGACTATGGTTCAAGTCCCGAACCTGGCAACTTAAAACTCACTCCAGGCATGTGTGAGTGTGTGCCCAAAATCCCGAGAGGAGAACGGAGAAGGAATTGTGGTGTATTCATCTCCCCAGGGGGTGATTACTCATTTTCTGTCTCTCTGGCAAGCGTACACACCCTATAGCAAAAATCTCTCTCTAAAAAAAACAAATGAAAAAAAGAGCATTTAGTTGAGTTATTGTGAGGAATAAGGGTGATAGTACATCAAATGCACTTAGAATGGGGCCTAGCACATATTAATAAGTAGAGCTGCTGCCTTCACTATGACTGTTTCTTACCTCTGTTGTTTTACCCTGGGAAAGTAGAAAAGAAAGCATAGTATTTGATCTGGGCTTTTAAATAGAAATAGGCTGAATAATAAAATGTAGAAAAATTAAAACAAGCATCATGAAATTTTGGGAATACTAGATACTAAAATGTTAGCAGTGATCACCTGGGGTGGTTGGGATTGTTTGTGTCTTATACTGCTTCCTTTAGTTTATCTGTATTTTCTGAAACTTGTAAAGAGGTACATTATTTTTCTAATTATAATTTTGAAAAAGTTATTCCTTGAAACAAATATGAATTCAGTAGCAGAATACCTGAAATGAGAAAAAGAAAAACTTTAAACCGTTGTATGTTTTGTGCTGACTGCCTTCATCATAATCTGGTCTTTCTAGTCCTGTTCACCTAGTGCATCTTCTAACCCTTGTCAATTCTTCATGATGATGAAAATAAAACAGTAGATTTTCATCATAAATTTCTGGTAATGGCCTTGATTATATTCGTTTTGTGTACTTAGAAAGAAACATTGACTTATGCATTGGAAAGAGATACCTAACTTTGTATTAAATTCTGAAAATTCTCTCTGTAGGTTGGAGTTATAGATTTTTCAATGTATCTCAAGGATGGGAACAGCAGTAAAGGTAGTGAAGGGTATGTACAAACAAAACTGGATTTCTTTTCTCTGCCATAGTCATTTTTCTTCCTTTGGTAGTATTTAATGTTTATAGCAATAGTGCTTCAACAGACTTGCTGAAAGAATTTCTGATGACAAAACTTAATAAAGTCATGCCAAAAATATCTACCGATATTATGTCTACTACTAAATTCTAAAAGGATTTTACTTGAGTGATTTTCCTGCTATGTAGTTCAGGGGCAAAAGAAATAAAAATTTATAGAAGGAATCTAATTCTATATTTTTTAAAGTAGTCTTTTAAACCATGGTCTTCTTGGGACCAGAAGATGATGTAATGGCTATGTCGCTGGACTCCCATGTAGTCGACCACAGTTCAAGTCCCAGATCTGGTGGCTTAAACTCATGGTGGGTGTGTGTGCGTGCATGCCCAAGATCCCGAGAGGAGAATGGAAGAGAAGGGATTGCAGCGTGGCAATCCCTGCTCGGGGGATGATTTCTCACTTTCTGTCTCTCTGTCTTTCTGGCACGTGCACACACCCTCTAGTGAAAACCTCTCCCAAAAACAAACAGTCTTCTTCACCAGAAGGATTACATTCGTAGTTTGCTTAAAATTTGCAATACAAAATAGGCATCATGGTGTTATGTAAAATGTTAACATTGGGGGAACCCAATGAGGGGTGTACAGGAACTCTGCACTGCTTTTACAGCTCTTGCTGTAAATCTGAATTACTTCAAAACATAAAACTTGAAAAATATTTATTAGGACACTTAGTAATTAGAGATTAGAATATACCTTATATATACCCTTTAGAAATCGAGCAGTTGAAAGCATAATTAACCAGATGTTTGTAACCTTGGAAATTAATCTGAGAGTTTATCACTTGCTCTTTCAGTAGTTGTACAGGCAGAGAGTCTTAATTTCATCTTTCACCTGAAAAATCTAGCAGTTTAATTTTTGCCTATTGTAGATCAGTTAATAAATTCTGGAAGTACACACTTTATTTTCTTGTGTAGTAGTAAACACTTTATAAAAGCCTTTTATGCTATTCACTTTGAATTATAGGAACATTTAAAGGCAAATAGATACTGCACAAGAATAAGTTTTATTCAATTCCTGAAGCAAATGAAAAACTGTTACTTTAACATACTAGTGAAGCTGAAAGACCTATTAGCTTACAAGAAGTAAATTTTTATCTTTTAAATGCCTCTGATAAATTGTAACATCATTCCTATAACTTAAGTTATTAAAGTTTGTAGACTATAACAAGAGCGTTATTGCCAGGTTTTTTTTTGTTTGCTTGTTTGTTTGTTTTTAAATTTCCAAGTTTTTCTTGTTGATATGTTGAGGGGTTATATCAGTACTGTCTCCTGGTTCAGTATATCTGTATCACAGTTTTCTTCTCATGTTTTATGGAAAGATGTGGAGGGGACTGGGATCTTACTATTTCTAATGTTACTTATTTTTATTTCTATTTCTTTTCATTTTTTCCCCCAGAGATGGTCAGATTACTGCAATTCTGGACCAGAAAAACTATGTAGAAGAACTGAACAGACATCTGAAGTAAAGAATGAATAAATAATACTTTGCTGGGGACTTATGGGGGGCGAAGAAAGGGTCAAAGGATGAGTACTGAAGATAAGTTCAGACAACATTTAGCAAACATATATAGAATTCCTGATTATTATTATTCTATTTAGCAAAAGGCTTGTCATATATGTATGTATTTATAACTCTTATAATTGAATAAATACATTCAGTTAAAAATGTTTAAATATGAGGGACCAGCAGGTGGCATGGTGGTTAAGGTTCTGGACACTCCCACGTGGCCGACCACAGTTTGAGTCTCGAACCTGGTAGCTTGCTTTTTCGATCCCCCCGCCCCCGTGTGTGTGTGTGTGTGTGTGTGGTCAAATTAAAATAAATGAATGAATAAATAAAATTAAATAAATTGTTCTTTTTAAAAAAATGTTTAAATATGAGGCCAGCCGGTGGAGTGGTGATTAAGGGTGCTGGACTTCCACATGGCCAACCACAGTTTGATTCCTGGACCTGGTGGCTTGCTTGCTCTCTCTCTCTCTCTCTCTCTCTGTCTCTCTCTCTCTTTCTCTTTCACTCTGTCCCTCTCTGGTCAGATTTAAATAAATAAATAAATAAATAAATAAAATAATTATTTTTAAAAAAATGTTTAAACATGAACATATACAGTTGAAAATGGCTGACTGGCTTCATGGCCAGATAGTTAAGGCAGCTGGATCCCACCTAGCCTGTCGTGCCGTTGGAGTCCTAGAACCTGCAGCTTGAAAAGCACAATGGTGCATGTGTGTGTGTGCCCAAAATCCTGAAAGGAAGGAAAGATAGTAGGAGGAATTGACCATTCCCCATGGGGATGCTTTCTCCTCTCCCTCCTTTTCTGTCTATATGTGCTGTCTAACCAAAACAAAAATAAAAAAATGTTGACAGCACTCTTTGTTTAGTAGATAAAGCCATATTTTTCAGGACTATACATTGAAATGATAGTATTAATTTATACTCTCTTCACAACCATGATTAATTTACCAAGTTATCACCAAGTATTGTCAGAAATAATCTAGAGCATGAAACAGTTTCTTCTCTCCTGAGAACTATCCCATAGCTGTGGTATTCCCAGATACTTTATGTTTTTGTTACACTAAAGATAGCTGTATAATTCAGAAGAATAATTTATATATCCATTAATTACTATTTTATTTGTAGTTCTCTTGTGAAAGACAGCCATTTTTAATATAAATAAGGCCTCTGGGACAGTAGGTGGTGTGGCAGTTAAAGGTGTTGGACTCCCACATGGTCAACCACGGTTCGAGTCCTGGATGTAGCTGCTTACTTTCTCTCTCTTCCTTTCTCTCCCTCTCTCTGGTCAAATTAAAAATAATAATTAAATAAATAAAACACTTTTTAACATTTAAATAAGACCTCTAATATGATTATACTATCAATATAAATGTTGAGGAGTCTTGGTTCCACTGAGCAAATTCAAGAACAATTTAAATACATTTTCTCTGGGAACCAAGAACTAATAATGGCTATAATGGACTATGGAGATAATAGTCAAGCAAAGATAGGGTTACAGTTCACAGTGGAATACAAACACGTGAACTGTTAGTTATTCTTTCCATGCCTTAGTTTCTTTATCTGCAATTGGGAATATTTTAACTCATAGAGTTATTGAAAGGAATAAATTAAAGAATGCAAGTAAAATAACTTAGAAGTGTGCTGGTGCATGTAACCCTTTAGTTCATGTAGTCAATTATTATCAAATATAGATAAACCTTGAAATTACTGTGTAGTACATGAGCTCTTTTATTTAACCGAACAAATACTGAACACACAAAGGTCTGACACTCAAGGTAGGCACAGCTTTTATATACTGCTTACAGCCTGCATATCTATCAAGAGTTATGGACATTAAATAATGAATGATAGGGGCCTGCAATTGGTGTAATGGCTATGTCGCTGGACTCCCATGGGGTTGACCATGGTTCAAGTCCCAAACCTGGTGGCTTAAACTCACACCAGGTGCATGTATGTGCATGCCCAAGATCCCAAGAGGAAAATGGAGGAGAAGAGATTGCGGTATGGCCATCCCCTCTAGGGTGTGATTTCTCACTTTCTGTCTCTCTGTCTCTTGCTGTCTTTCTGGCAAGCGCACGTGCCCTATAGCAAAAACCTCTCCAAAAAAAAAAAAAAGAAAGAAAAATAATGAATGATAAAGTGTGAAGAATGTTTTAAAAGGAAAATACACCATATTGTTCTGTTTTACAAAAGAGACCTCTTTTTTCTTCTCTCGATAGTGCTACTGTAAACAATCTTCAGGCAAAAGTAGATGCCTTAGAAAAATCCAACACCAAACTGACAGAGGAGGTAAGTGTTTGGGAAATTCTTTGACTTACAAATTGCATAATGTGCATTAGTGGAACCAATAATTTCTTATTATTTCTGTGTAGCCTTGGAAATGAAGGACTTGATGTTTCAGGTAACATACTATAGGGCATAACTGCGTTCTGACTAGGATGGCCAGGCAGCTTTACACAGTGACCTGGTTGGACCACTGGGCATGTTACCTTGCCGATCTGGTCTGCCCTAGAGTAAATGTTTAGCATATAGCATGTTATTCATCCGTTTTCATTCAATAAACATTTGGGCACTATCTATCTATGTGCTTGGCATTGATTTATGTGTCCTAGATTGGGAAGTCTCCCACTCCCCTCATTCTTACTTTCTCCATGGGATAGCAGGTTAATACGATAAAGAACACTGGTCAGAAGACCAGTAATTCTTGCTTACATTTTATGCTACTTATATGTCATGTGCTTCTGAGTAAGTCACTTGACCTCTAAGAGGCCCAGTTTCCTCACTGGCAAATGGGAGTGTTTATACTTCCCCTTTCAACCTCACAATTACAATAAAGATCAGAATAGAATATATATATATATATGACAGCTCTTAGAAAAGCCCCTAAAATAAGAACAGAAAAATGACCTCATGTTTTACTTCTCATTAATAAAGATTTTTTTCCAACTTGCAAAGTGCTAAGTTGGAATTTTCTTTAGTAGCATGAGATGTTTTATGAAAGATCTTACCCAGGTGGCAGAGTTGATCTTCTCCATTTCTAATTACAATGATCTTTGTTATATACAGTCTTCTAAATTTGTTTTAAATCAAATCAAAGCACTAGTCAAGAAAATGCTGTTTATTCAAGTTTATTTATTGATTTCTTCCATGCATACGGGAGAGCTGATACTCCCAATAGGGTCTTGATGCCATCCATGTTCCACCCCCAGACTTTAGCCACACATAGACCATGGGCACATGTATGTCCAGCATGCTTAAGGAGGTCTCTGGACTTGAACTAGGAAACTTCCCATGTGGAATTGCCTTGTGTAGTGTTATATTTTATCACTACACTTTTTTTTTTTTTTAATGAGAGAGCACATGAGAGGGAGGAAGAGAGAAAAGAGAGAGGTTGGTTGACAGAGTCCTATGCTATGATCTTCCTACTCCTGCCTCTCAGTCAGCTAGGACTACAGGCGCTCACTACCACGTCCAGCCTGGCCTAGGTTGGGCTGATAACTGAACACAGGCCTCCCATTTGGCCCCAACCATCACACAGTGATGTCCTCCCACTTGTATCCCCTGCAGCTGGTTCTCCATCCTTGTCATCTTTAAATGACTTCCTGATTACTCAGCTCTGTGGGCTTCTTTTAGATAAAGTTTCTTTATACTTAGAGACAGTCATGCATACATTAATTTATGGATAGGATCCCTAGAATCTTATCCCATAAGCCCTTTGGAATATGAAGCACAGAAATTTTCTACTATGATTCTACTGCTACTATTGATATATTGAGGCAGTATGGTCTAGCAATTAAGCACGATCTCTAAAGCTACACTACCTGGATTCATATTCTGACTCTGGAACTTGCTAACTTTCTAACCCTGAGCCAATTACTTGAGCCTCTGTTCCTTAGTTTACTTTATCAGTAAAAAGAGAATAATAACAGTGATATTATTTTATAAGACTGTTATGCTAATTAAATTATTTAATACATGACAAGGACCTATAACAGTGCCTGACACATTGTAAGCACTTACTATAGTTGTTTATTTTATTCCCTCAGTCACAAGACTTGTCCTCCCAACTTAGACTTATTATAATAACAATATGTATTTATTCATTTACTTATTTTGCCAGTAATGTTTATTTTCTTGAAACAGAATTCTTAGAGGTGGGTAAAGACTGTATACTTTATACAGAACAGGTAGGGCTAAGTCTGCCTTCTCTCATTTCTATTTTTGGATTTAATAGGCCAGTTTAAAAAACAAAAACCTCTTGTCCCTGGTATGACTCATTGAAAAGAATTATACAGATGAAAACATAAATACCACTTTATTGGAATCAGAATCAGAAAGCCTTCTTGGTCCTGCAGCCATAATTAGGTTTGCTGATATTTTCTCTTAAGTCATGATCTTGAAATGACCTGACCAAAGGCATCCTTAGATCTGAAGAGCAGATCTACTTGCCCACAACTGTGGCTTTTCACATTTTTAGGCCCATGGAGCAGAGAGAGAAATGGACTTGCGGCTATCTCCAGAAAGCATGCCCAAGCCCTAGCTCCTGTGAGCTTGCTGTGATAGAAAGGAACCCAGCAGAGCCTGTGTCTCCTCACTAGCAGCAAGGAGACAATAATAGGGACCAGCCTGGCGATAGGAGCCTGCCTGGTTCTCCTGCCCTAGTTCTGCTGGCCGTTTTCAGGCACCTTCACATTCTCTGGAGGGAATTGAGTTCAGTGGGTACAGAGAACAAAAAAGTGTGTCCACCCTACTTTCCCCCCCATGAGTGGAAATATTACTAACTTTCCCTTCAGCAATATACTACTAATAACGTTATTTTATCTTTTTAAGTTCTGAAGTGAAAAATCTCTTGAATGCTTAATAGAAGTTTTAAGAGTGAGATTTTTGGAGCTCATTTATCTGATCTTTTAAAATCATCTATAAGAGGTTTTATGAACAATTTGAAACATAAGTCTCATGGTAAGAGATGACCTCTTTATTAAACACTTCAGAAATACATATTTTTACTAAGTATTAATGATAAGTTATCCATTATGACACCCTTGAGGTAAAAAATCTTACTAACATTTTGGTACTGAAAAATAGTTTTCACAAAAAAGAAGCAATAGGAATTTTTTTTTTTCCTCCAAACTACTTTAAAAACATTTCTCCCGGGACCAGCAGGTGATGTAGTGGTTAAGGCACTGGATTCCCACATGACCCACCACAGTCTGAGTGCCAGACCTAGTGGCTTGCTTTCTCACTTTCCCTTTCTCTCTCTCTGGTCAAATTAAAAACTAATAATAACAAATGGAATGAAACAAATAAATCTTTAAAAAGAAAAAAAAAATTTCTCCCAAGTTCCCTGTAAGAATATTTTGTTGGGTTATACATGTTATCTGTTTTAACTGATCATGATTTATCTTATACTATGTTAATAAAAAAAGATAAAAGATTATTTCTAAAATTGCATCCATAGCTTGCAGTTGCAAACAACAGGATTATTACCTTGCAAGAAGAAATGGAACGAGTTAAAGAGGAAAGCTCCTACATATTGGAATCCAACCGAAAGGTTAGTCTTACGAATTTATAAAATATTCACAGAGCACATGGCAATGTGTCAGCAAGAGGGTGGAGTGTCTAGAGTTTTGGTTTCTTTTTTTTTTTTTTTTTTTTTTAGAATTTTTATTTATTTAACTTTATTTGTTATTTTTTAATTTGACCAGAGAGAGACAGAGGAAGAGAAAGGGAAGGGGAGAAAGCAAGTCACCAGGTCCAGGACTTGAACCATGGTCAGCCATGTGGATGTCCAGCACCTTAACCACCACACCACCTGCCAGCCCCAGGAGTCTCTAGAGTTTTAAGCGGCAAGCATTTGCATGTATCAGGTACACAGTTTTTCTTAAACTGTGTGTAATTGAGTATATGATGAAATTATGAAGAATTATGCCCCTTCTCTTGGGAGATAGACCTGGCTTCCCTGCCACCCACATCTGTTAGGAGACTTCAAGTGACAGTCTAAGTCAGTTTCTTATTGAGGTACTAATAATTTATACTGTTATTTGGTGTATTAAATACACCTTTATATCATGTTACTGTTGTATAAGAAATGACACCTTGGGTCAGCATGGTGGTTAAGGTGGCTGGATCCCACGTGGCCCACTGTACAGTTCAAGCTCTAGACCTGGAGGCTTGAGAAATATGCCAGAGCATGTGCCATGTGCCCAAAATTCTGTAAGAAAGGAGAAATGGAAGAGGAAGGATTGTGGTGTACCATGCCCTACGGGGGGTAAGTCTTGCTTTCTCTCCCCCACACACACTCTCCACCCTGCCCCAACACAGTCTCTTCTCCATTTCTTCATCCTGTCAGGATTTGGAGCACACATGCACAGCCAGCACTTTTTATTCAAGCTTCCAGAGCCAGGATCTGAACCACAGTGGGCCATGAGGAATCCAGCTTCTTAGTTACCACGAGACCACAGCACTGTCCCATCATCTTTTACTTTTTACTGCTGCTAGTGTTACGATCTTTAGAAAGGTCTCCTAGTTCTGTTTATCTTCATGCTTCTAATCTACTATGACTTGGGAATCCAAATATCCACAGTTAATAAATTGGTCCCCAAGAGTAACTGGGCTAGTGGGACTTAAAGCAATTTATTAGTAAAGTGTTTGGCTTTAATGTATAGACTTCATTCCTGAGAACAACTGTGACTGTGTGGGACCAGCAGTTAGCGTAATGGCTATGTCGCTAGACACCCATGTGGTCAACCACGGTTCGAGTCAGGACCTGGTGGGTTAAACTCACACTGGGGGCGTGTGCGTGTGTGCCCAAGATCCCAAGAGGAGAATGAAGGAGAAGGGATTGTGGTGTGGCCATCCCCCCTGGGGGGAGTGATTTCTCACTTTCTGTCTCTCTGTCTTTCTGGTGAGCACACATACCCTATAGGAAGATAGGAAGAAACCTCTAAAAAAAAAAAGAAGAAGAAGAAAAAGAAAGAAAGGAAACAACTCTGTGCAAAAAAATTTTTAATGACTGACTTATTTTTAGCTTTGATCTCTCTGGACAGTTGAAAATGCTAAATGTGAGACATCTGGAGAATGAATGTCTAACATTTTTTTTTAATTGCCAGAGGTCATGTGTACTCACCAGAGAGTGACTAAAAGACAGAGAGAGTGAGAAAGAGAGGGAGCAGTTAGCGTAATGGCTATGTCGCTGGACTACCACGTAGTCGACCACAGTTCGCATCCCGGACCCGGTGGCTTAAAACTCACACCGGGCGCGTGTGCGTGTGTGCCCAAGATCCCAAGAGGAGAATGGAGAAGAAGGGATTGCGGTCTGACCATCCCCCTTGCAGGGTGATTTCTCGCTTTCTGTCTCTATGTCTCTCTCTGTCTGTCTGGCAAGCGCACGCACCCTATAGCGAAAACCTCTCCAAAAAAAAAAAAAAAGAGAGAGAGAGAAAGAGGGAGAAAGCACCCTTCAACAGGGTATAGTCACATGCAGTCCCTTTCCATTTCTCCATCCAGTCAAGATTTAGGGCATGCATGCACACATACATAGTATGTTTTTCAAGCCTCTGGGGCCAGGATTTGAACTGTGTGATCAGCCATGTGAGATCCAGCTCCCTTAACCACCAGGCCACAGCAGCCCTGTATTACCATCTTTAAACCTTTGGCCCAGCTCCTATTTTTGCAGTGAATACTATGTAATTTTTAGAGGCCAATTTTTAAAACTTCTATACCTGGTTTGGTAACCTGTCTTGGGATTTGAAATCAAGTTTCAAGATACTCCCAGTTCACCTTAGAATTTACTAAGCTTCTTTATTGTCTTCATTCATTATTATTCCTGTGTAGGTATGATCATGCTCCCTTTTTAAATAGCATTGCTAATATGTGATAATTCTATATAGAATATTTAAGTCCTTAAATATATATTATTTTATTTATCTTTTAAAGGGTTCTAAGCAAGACAGAACTTCAGAAGGACAAGCACTTAGTGAAGCAAGAAAACATTTAAAGGAGGAGACCCAATTACGACTGGTAAATTCTGCTTAAGTTCTGATCGCTCATGAACACGTTAAAAGAGAGCAGCTTACACCTAGAGGTTTTATCCTACAGACAACGATCAGGAATATTGGTAGTGTCCTAAAATGTTTTTATGAATCTTTCAGAGTTTTTCCTCACTCTTTTTAACCTGCATTTCCTATAATGCTTTCTTAATCCATTTCTATATATTCTCAACAGTAAGATTTTGCCAGCCTTTATATTTTGCCTTTATAATTTGTATGCTTAGAACATTAAGTATATATAACCTGCTTTTTTAAACTATACAATCCCAATTTCTGTCCCAATCCCTAGCCCTGCAACCGCTAGGTTTTCTTGGAGAGAGCAGCTCCTCTTCCTCTTACTAATAATCATTAATATAGAATTATACAGTTTTATTTTTAGCTGTCATTTATTAATTTATTCTTGTTCTTAGCTATAAATGGAAAGTTTATTGTCTAGTCTTGAGATTTTTATAGATATCAAAAATAAATATATAGGAGTATATAATAGTGAATACTACTTCTATAATAGATTTTTCCAGGTATTAGTATATTAATTCCCCCTTTTATTAGTGTATGAACTCTTCCTGAAGTTCACGTAGAATGACCAACAACAGTCCCCATTAGTGTCTCTCAGAACAGGAAGAACCTGAAAATAATGGGTGACTTAATTTGTACTAAAATATACAAAATAACAGTGTGTAACAGGATTTTAGGTTTTCTGAAAACACAGCAATGTTATTTTAACATCCTTTAAATAATTAGCATTTCCTTATATGAGTTTGTAAATTAGATGTCAAAATGCTTTTAATAAGGAGAATCCTAGAAATAGTGTCAACATTTTTTAGAATTTTTTATTTATTATTATTTTAATTTGTTATAGGCATGTTTCTCACCACACACACACACACACAGAAATTAAGAAAGCAAGCTGCCAGGTCTAGGACTTAAACTGCTACCAGCCATGTTGGAGTCCAGTGCCTTAGCAACCACACCACCTGCTGACCTCAAAGTCAACATTTTAAGAAGTGGAGTGATTCATTTTTTTTATCATGCTAATCATGTAAAGAAGAAAATCTTGGTGAGGAAGCACATTATAAAAATCTTAAAATTTTCTTTTTTTTAATTTTTTTAAGAGAGTTTTTTTTTTTTTTTTCCTATGGGGTGCATGCACTCACCAGAGAGACAGAAAGTGAGAAATCACCCCCCTAGGGGGAATGGCCATGCTGCAGTCCCTTCTCCTCTATTCTTTTCTCAGGCTCTTGGCAATGCAAGCACTAATACCTGGCATGAGTTTTAAGCCACCAGATCCAGGACTCAAACTGCAGTTGACTACATGGGAATCCAGCGACATAACCGTTATGCTATCTGCAGACCCCTTTAAGTCTTTTTTTTTTTTTTTTTTTTTTTCAGAATCATTTATTTAATTTTATTTATTATCGTCATCATTATTCAGTTTTCCACAGGGCACATGTACTCACCAGAGAAAGGGGTGGGTGGAGTGGAGAGAAGCAAGAAAGCAAGCCGCCAAATCCTGGACTCGAACATTGGCCAGCTTTGTGGGAGTCCAGTGCTTTAACTACCACACTACCTGCTGCCCTCCAAAAATCTTAAAATTTTCTATATCCTTTTAGCACAATAAGATAAATGTGTCATTAAAAAAAGAAAGAAGCCGCCAAAGTAGGTAAATGCTAGCTGTGCTGCAGATACAATATGGATGTAGAAGAACCTTAGGACTTTGTATTTTTGGTCATTCACATGATGCTGTGGTAATAATGGTTGAAAGAGAAAAGGGGTTTCAGACCCAGCCATGATAACCTGTACTGGTAATGCTGCCACTCAGCAGGCTAAGGCCACATGGGAGTCTGGATTTAATACCTGGACAGTGTAGTGCACAGTTACATGCACTTCCCAGGGAGTCAGGAGGCTGAAGCTAAAGAATTATGACTAAAAAAAAGTGGGAAAAGGTTCATGTTGTGTGAATCTAGAAATTCATTTAATCATATTGATCATTCCTAGTAACTGAGATATTTCCCTGAGATCCCAGAGGGTCTTGGGTTCTTGAATAAATCAACAACGTTCAAATTTAGCTGAATTGCAACAGCTTTATTTATTTATTTATTTATTTATTTATTTATTTTGGAGAGGTTTTTCACTATAGGACGCATACGCTCGCCAGACAGACAGACAAGACATAGAGACAGAAAGCAAGAAATCACTCCCCAGGGTGGATGGTTACGCCACAATCCCTTCTCCTCCATTCTCCTTTCGGGATCTTGGGCATGCACACACACGCGCCCGGCGTGAGTTTGAAGCCACCGGGTCCGGGACGCGAACCGCAGTCAACTACGTGGAAGTCCAGCGACATAGCCATTACGCTAACTGCTGGTTCCCGCAACTGCTTTATTTTGTGCCAACTATTACAACATTTTATTTCTGTAATAGTACATGATGTCAGCTGTCTTAGTGTCTATTGAAGTGCCTTAGGTATATGCATGTTTCAGACATAGTTAATAACACTATCCTTGGCCCAGCAAGTTTTTAAGATTTGTACATTTTTGAGCAAATGTTACTGTAATTATCCTAATTATTATTCTTAATGTCTCTGAAAATGAATGATAGCTTAGTAGCTATTTTGCCAGAATAATCAGACATGAGCATTTTAGTCCTTTTTCTGTGAGAGGTTATGGTTTGTATTTAGCTGAAGAAAGAGAAATGTAAGCAATTAACTTACCTTTGGGGTCAGGATGTTGAAAAAGAACTGGAGCTCCAGATAAGCATGAGACAAGAGATGGAACTGGCCATGAAGATGCTGGAGAAGGATGTCTGTGAGAAGCAGGATGCCCTGGTGTCTCTGCGGCAGCAACTGGATGACCTCAGGGCTCTGAAGCATGAACTTGCCTTTAAGCTGCAGGTAGGGGAAATATGAGGAATAGACTTGCTGCCTCTCTAAAAGCCTGAGACTTTTCTCCACCCCTTTCGTTCTGTAGAATCACACTTTAAATGCAAGAGGAAAAAGTGTCATCTCATTTTGAGACTAACTGCCAATAAACTTTCACTGTAGGATCAGATCAATGTAGGACCCTGCATTGCTATTCTGGAAAACTATGGCCACTGTTCACATTGTAATGGGAGATACTGTCTCTTTATTTTAGGTTTTTGACATAGGGTGTGTGTGTGTGCACACCTGCCAAAGAGAAAGTGAGAAATCACCCCAAAGGCAAATAGTCATACTGCAGTCCCTTCTCCTATTCTCCTCTTGAGATTTTGGGCAAACACGCACATGTACTCGCTGTGAGTTTCAGGCCACTAGGTCCAGGTCTTGAACTGTAGTCCACCATGTAGGAATCCAGCACCCTAACCACCACGCCACCTGCTGGGCCCACGTAGTGTCTTTTTTTATCCTATTTGAAAATTTCTTCTCTTCATCCTAACATGCAGACTGAGTATATACTCCATTAGCTTTTATTTAAGAAATAGAATATACTGAAGAATCTTCTGATATATTTCTAAGGCTGCATATAATAATACTAATGTTAAATAAATTGCTTTTTTGGTTCTTTTAATTTGTTTTCCATTTGGAAATTAACTGATATATAAATGTATAAACATTTCTGTTTCTCTATTGCCCACTATTATGTTCCAAAGGCATGTATGGAGACCAGCAGGTGATGTGTTGGTTAAGGCTCTGGACACTCCCACATGGCCATCCTGGTTCAAGTCCCAGACCTGGTGGCTTGCTTTGTCACTTTCCCTCTCTCTCTCTATGTGTGTGTGTCTCTCTCTGGCCAAATTAAAAATAAATGACTGAATGAATAAAATTAAAATTAAAAATAATTATTGTTTTAAAAGGCACAGATGATTATATTTGAGGATTTTATATTACATCAGTCTTTATCATTCTTTCCCATAACAGAGTTCAGACTTAGGAGTAAAACAGAAAAGTGAACTGAATAGTCGCTTGGAAGAGAAGACTAATCAGATGGCTGCTACCATCAAACAGCTGGAGCAAAGGTAAAAGTGCTATTTCTTTCATGAAACCCTTTGGGCTTTTAGTGCTGGACATGAAGAGACCCACTATGCTTTTGGCAAATAGTGGATGAAATTCTTCCAGCTTAACACAGACATACAGGTAAACAGAAAGCCAATTATATCTTCTGTGTATTTTTAAGAAATGGCAGTTTCTCATGACTGTTTTGAACATCAGAATTCCTAGTAAACCCATTTCAGCCTCTTGTGTTAGAAGAAGAATCCGTACCTGGGTGAAAGGCTTTCTGAATGTGTGTTTGTTAATTCTGTGATTTTACTGTTCACTACTCAAGTCTTTGAATGTTTTGGTGCTAGGTGATGTAGGAGTACTGATTCATCTTACCCAAAGTTCATCTTCTTCCTATGCTACTCTCATTTCTTCATTTCTCAGAAACCATTTTCTTTCTGGTGATTCAGCAACCGAGAAAAATGGCCAAGACTTAACGATTTAAAGTGGGACCACCTCGTGACATGCTGGTTAAGGCAGCTGGATCCCACATAGCTGACTGTGTGTTTTAAATCCTGGCGGCTTGAAAAACATGCCAGGCACATGTGCATGCATGCCCCAAATCCTGAAAAGAGGTAGAGATAGAGAAGGGATTGTGTCATGACCATACCCATTCAGAGTTCTTTTCACTTTCTCTCTCTCTCTGTCTCTCTCTCGAGTGAGTGCACTTACCCTCTGGGAAATTAAAAAAAAAAAAAATAGTGTGGCATGGCACCTGTCTTAGTCTAATATTGTGATGCAAAAAAAAAAAAAAAACAAAACAAAAACCTGAGACTGAGTAACACGAAAATAGAGATTTATTCAGCTCCTATTTTGGAGCTCCAAAGACCAGGGCCACCTCTGATGAGGATCTTCTGGCTGCATCACAACATGGCAGATGGCAGGAGAGTATGATCTGTGTCTCAGCTATGTTTCCCAGTCTTTTCTCCTCTCATAAACCCACTCGAACGCAGTCATAGGGGCCCCTAAAATCACTTTTTTAAAAGAGTTACTTATTGAATTCCATTTGTTATTATTATTTTTTAATTTGACCAGAAAGAGACAGAGAGAAAAGGAAAGCGAGAAAGCAAACTGCCAGGTCCGGGACTCATACCACAGTCGGACATGTGAGAATCCGCTGCTTTTAACCACCATGCCACCTGCCGGCCCTGACTCTAAAATCTCTTAATCAATCACTCCCAAAGGCCCCATCTTTCAATACTTTTCACAACCAAATCTCAACACAAGAATTTTGGATGGACAAAACCACATCACCCAAAATCTTTCAACATTTTCACCTTCAACATCCATTCATCACTCTTCTTTCTTGCACTTGAGCAAATCTAAACCACTGGTCTCTGGACATGGTGTGTTTTTTTTTTTTCTCACTCATTCCTTTTCTTAGAAGTGACCTTCCTCATTCCACTCCCTGTTCTTCAAATACATTATTTATTCTGAGTCTCAAATGCCACCTCTCCAAAACTTCCTCTGATACCACTTTTCCCAGCTAGAAATGATCTGTACTTACGCATAGCCTTATATCCATATATATGTCCATACCGCTTATGGTACTTCTCATTGTGTACTTTACCTTAAAGCCCTTTATGTAGGTCTCTTATCTCCCAGTGAGAGTGTAGCTCCATGAGGTTAACTAATCTCTTGAGTTCCTTCATTGGATTTATCACAGTGCTTTGAATGTACAAGGCATATCAATAGCTATATGAGTGAGTGAATGGATGGGTGACTTACTTTATTCACATGATTCTTAATCAGGGAGAGCCCTAAACAGCAATGTCCGTTCATATTAATGGGAAAGTTCATTGCAAATTAATAAAATAAGCTTAAAAATTCTGACAGTGGCTAATCAAAGGTATCAGTTTGTCTAAGAAAGTTAATATTAAGTATTACTTGCTCATAAGTAGTCAGATATTTATGATTTAACAAATCAGTTTTCATGTTCATAGAATAGACTTTCGAAATCTATTAGATTATTTTTCAATGATTTTTTTTTACTTGTTCAAAGCAAACAGAACTAAAATAATGACCTATCTCTTCAAAAAATTAAGCTGACTTATTCTTGCAATTTTTGTTTCCTGTGTATTCATTTTCTCATTCCCCTTTCACTTCATTTTCATTTTTATTTTGTTTAGTGAAAAGGATTTGGTGAAACAGGCAAAGACCTTAAATAGTGCAGCAAATAAACTGATTCCAAAACATCATTAGACGTTGGGCTTCAGTTGGTCACCTCACAAGTCTGATATCACAACTTAATTGTAAAAGGAAGAAATCTGAAAGTTATTGCATTTAAGTTCTGATTCTATATAAAATGTCTCCAAAAGTTGACTTTGAATTTCTCGGACTTTTAAAAAACCAATTGGATATATAGGTTGGGGTTTTTCTTCTTCTTCTTCTTCTTCTTCTCCTTCTTCTTATTTTCCCCCACAGAGTTAGAAAATTTGATATAAATTCCTAATTAAATGCCAAATAAACTTTGAGAAATTATTTCTGAGTTGACCTATAAATAAAAACATTAAAAAAAAAAAAGGCCTAGGGAATTGAAGCTCTGTACATATATTAACGATGCCTTGACCATCCAGTCCTTGATAATACCAGATTCTAGGTGCATTGTTCGTGTCTGTATCAGTCAGCCTTCTCTGCCATTGCAATGTAATGAACTAGAGGTGACTCCCACGTGAACTTGGACTCCTCTAAAGTAGCTCCATGTCTCTTAGGCCGTTGCCCCTTTACACTTTTGTTACATAGGTTTAATCCCCAAGCTGAGGATAAGTACGCAATATCTCACTACAGTTCTACTCTCAGTAACCAAGACTGCTTGCAACTTTTTTGCCTTAGTAACTTCAGGGGTGAAAAATAATCCTTACATTTCTCTACAATACATAGAGATAAAGTTAGTAATTAGGTTACTTATGATAACATTGTAATGTGGAAGCTTTGGGAAAACCCTCTTAATATTTGCCATCTTCTACCTCTACCATTTTTCTGCAGTTCCTACTTAGCTCAGAGAGAAAAAATTTACTAAAAACTCTCCTCTACAGAAATTCACTGTTCATTTTAAAATCCGCTTTTGCTGTTGGAGGAAAGAGGACAAGGTATAGACACGCGTGATGATTTCCTGCCTGTCATTCCTTACCCGGAAGCCTTCTCTTTAGAGTTGTGTTCCTTTTTATTCAGACGGGAATCTGCTAAACGTCCTGGGAAACTAATAATTTAATTATTAGAGAGACATATCAGAGTAGGAAAGAGAAAAATGACAATTTAATATTCCTTATTATTATTTAAAGTAAAAATAAAGGTTCTTGGTAGATATCCACAAGCAATATTAGCAGGGCTTCTTTCTCTAAGTGACCACAGATCTAACCCTTTCTAAGAACCTTTACATTGTAAATAATCGTTGAAATACTTCAATTTTTAAAAAATGATTTGAGAAGAGAGGCTTTACATAAGTCTTCATTCCTTTAAAAGGTCTTGACAAAATACTGGGGTTTTTTGTTTGTTTGTTTTTGTTCTGGTATGCTTGGCAGCATTTATGCTGCTTAGATGAGGACGAAGATAACCGCTTTCCATCCAGCTCTTCAAATTCTTTACTTTTTTGGTAAAATGAGAATTAATAAAAGAGCAAGATAAATTCCATGTGTGCTGTTATAGGGTCCTTGCACAGACTTGAACTAAAACCAAGTCAAAGAACCCACATCTAGACCAACTTTATAGAAGAGCCTGTGCTCTTGAACTCAGTTCTTATAATTTTGCACCTATATAAATAACGCTCTTATTTTGAAATATCTTTGTCTTCGTCAACATTTTACGGTGATGCATTACCTTTCTATGAGCATTTGGATGGAGTGATCAAACACCAAAATAATGCTTTCTGAAGACTACACATAGCATGCGGCTAAATTTTACTACATAAAGCTCCGAGCGTTTCACCCTCTAAAATGTTTCTTTATGGGTGCAAAGTTAGAAGATGCACAAAAGAAAGCATGCATGAGAATCTTCAGTGAATGTGGGCAGGACTCTCACGCAGACCCAGTGCTGAGTTTTTTGTCCACTTAGTCACACACCACGTGGTAGGGGTGGAAAAGGAAAGGATAGCCAAATTCTGATGGCTTCTTCTCAGATAATAACCTGAAGCCTGGGTAAGGTAGTTGTGTAATGTCCTATGATTTAATATATGTGGTTTGGGGAAAGGATTAGAAAAATGTGATAATCCCACAGATAAGAAGGTAGTTGCCCATTTGCAAGTTCCAGTTATGTGTGTAAAACAGAAATATAAAGTACCAAACTAATTAGGAAATAAAAACAAAAAAAAGTGGATTTAACTTAAATTACCTGTGTACTTGAGGTTGGCTTTGGATATGGATTTCTAAAAAGTGATGTTTTATTGTTTATCATCTAATGGCTGTAAACTGTAGTACTAGAATAAAAAAAAAAGTGGAAAATGAGCATTTCCTCTGCCTGGTTCACCTTCATCTTGCTTTTCTTTAGAGTTTGTTCCTTCTCCATCTCTTCCCTCCCCGTGTCCTGCAAAGTTTTTTATTTTTTGTTTTTGTTGTTGTTGTTGTTGCTCGCCTTGCCTTCTTCCTTGGGCTATTTTATTTTGCGTTGTGGACTTGGTCTTCCTCCCCACCGTGGCTTTTGTTTTTTATCACAAGTTCATGTGGCTCACATCCAGATTGCGTCAGGCTGAGCGAGGCCGCCAGTCTGCGGAATTGGACAACCGACTCTTCAAACAGGACTTCGGAGACAAGATCAACAGTCTGCAGCTGGAAGTGGAGGCACTCACCAGGCAGCGGTGAAGCAAGGGGTGGCGCGAGCCAACAGGGTGGTCATGGGTAATTCTCAGGCTGGACAGAGAAAGGAGAAGGTGTCTCTGCAATGTCCTATCTCTGGAACTGGAATTCAGAAAGCTTCACATCTCTCAGCATTCCCCAAGTCCTTTCAACATCCTTTGTGATCAGAAAATTAGGAAATTAGAGTCCATATTCCTAGATAGATAGTAACTAATAGCCAATTTAACACAAATTGTAATAGTTAATATTTCCTGAATTCTTACTGTGTGTTGGATACTTTATAAAACATTTCACATACAGTCTCTCCTAATATCTTCACATATACCCTATTAATAGGTTATATTCTTGCTCCCACTTCCATATGAAATTAAACTTAGAGGGGTTAAATGTGTCTAAATTCACAGTTAAACTGATAAGTAACACTGTCACTTAAAAAGCCCTCTCTCTGATTCCAAACCCTTAACCACCCTTTCGTCTTCTCTCATATGAGACTCTCTTCTATGCCAAAGTCACTGACTTCAAACAAATAGAACTTTGTTGGATATAAAGCTCATAGCTACTAGGACCAGTAGATGGCATAATGGTTATGTTACTGGACTCCCTTGTAGTCGACCATGGTTCAAGTCCCAGACCCAGTGGCTTAAAACATGCCAGGAGCATGTGCATGCGTGCCCAAAATCCCAAGAAGAGAATAGAAGAAAAGGGATTTTCATGTGGCCATCCCCCCAGGGGAGTGATTTCTTGCTTTCTGTCTCTTTGGTGAGCACACACGCCCTATAGCAAAAAACTCTCCAAAAAAAATTAAAAAGCTCATAGCTACTAAAGACACTAGTGGTTGAGGGTCTATTTAGGGGCTAAATATGTAACTGTAAAGAGGAACTAGATAATTAATATGAGATGGAACTACAATGTCTTTTTTTATATACTATATCTTGCTGATAATTTATAAATGCTGTCTTTCAACTATAACAAATCCTAATCGTCATCAGACAACAACTATTCATTAAGAGTGAATATAAACTATTAAGCCAGCAATATAGTGTAGAGGTTAATGTGCTAGATCTCACATGGCTGGCTGCACAGTTTGAGTCCCAGATGTGGCAGCTTGAAAAACACGCTGGGCGTGTGTGTGTGCACGTGTGTGCCCAAAAAGTCCTGAGAGGAGGGACCAGCAGATGGTGTAATGGTTACATCACTGGACTCCCATGTAGTTGACTGCAGTTCACATCCCAAACCCAGCGGCTTAAAACTCACACCAGGTTCATGTACGTGCATGCCAAAATCTCAAGAGGAGAATGGAGAAGGGATTGTGGCGTAGCCATCCTCCCTGGGGGGTGATTTCCCACTTTCTATCTCTCTGTCTCTCTCTGTCTCTCCAGCAAGTACATTCACCCTATAGCAAAAATTCTCTAAAAAAAAAAAAGTGCTGATGGAGAGCCTAAAGTACATTCTTACTTGTCCAAGAAAAGTTAAACTTGCTTTGTGTTAGGCTGTTGAGAAAGTCATAATATACTTTTCTGGTTTTCTATGCAAAAATGTCTCATGACTTTCCCTACAACCTAATATATCTTGTTGTTACTGGTTTTATTATATTTTAGCTTAGTTGTCCATATGCTAATAACTTTATTAATCAAGTATTAAAATTTAATAATTAAACTTTTTAATAAGAGGGTTTGGCCGCCTTCAGAGAATATGAGTACAGAAATTTCAAACGTCACCCTTTCCCTCTCCCACCTATCCCAGGAACCAGCTTGAGTTAGAACTAAAACAGGAAAAAGAAAGACGGTTACAAAACAACAGGAGCATCCCAGAAAAGGGTTCCCAGAAGCCAGAACCCAAGATGGTAATATTTATCATTGCCTTGTTTATTTACTTAATTTTAATATAACTTTTAGATGCTACCCTGATGGACCTATCCCTTTTATTTCATGGATCATATACTTTTAATTGCTGTGGCCTCAAGTGTGTAGATAGCAAACCACATAGGGAGTGAACGGATGAAAGCGGAATTCCGAGTCCGCCTCTTTGACTCTAACTTGATTTCATTTGGAAAAGGGGGATTTTAGTAATTATAATTTCTACTGACCATCTTTTCCCTTTCAATTATTTAAGTAAAATTATCGTGACATTTTAACAAAAATATGTGTTCCTTGAACTTCTACTGACTAATCATTTTAATAATATGATATAACCCTGAATTCCCCCTAACAGGATTCTAAAATGCAGACTTGCTTTTGTATACATTTTTCAAAGCCATGAGGATTTCAGTTTGAGTATATTCAAGGAATTTCTCTTAGGAATAATTAGAAAGAGTGGGAATAAGGCTTGAGGAAGGGCAAGCTAGTGAACAGTCTTGGGAGGAGAGACTGTAGAGGTCAGGAAGCAAAAACTCGGTAAGGTCTTCTCGGGGACCTAGGAACCAGGTGCTGGCCTCTTCAAATAATAAAGTTAGAAAAGCATAACATACTTATTCTATTAAAGAAAAACTGCCTCTTTTGTGTACATATCATATATGACAAAGCAGGACTAATTCATAAGCTTCTTATTTAAAATTTCCAGAGTGAGCTGCTAATTTTCTAGAGAATGGAAAGGAATAGAAATGTATTATATAGTAGTAATAATTTAAAGTGTGCAAGGGACCATTCTGTGTAGCATGTTATCTTTATTACTTTGGTTTAGGGAAGATAAAATTTCAAGGGTTTATGGAAGTTTACTAAACTGTTGGTCTATCTTGCCCTATATTTCCAAGGAGGCTTTAAGTTCCTCGTTCTTGAATTATCTTGCAGTGGGATTTCCAGGAGAGGAAGTATTGCATTGACCTCTTTTCCTTGAAATTCAAGTAGTCTATGAATGCAGATTCCATTTTTGTAAGCATTCGGGAAGTTCAAGGCCAGCAGGAGTGTGTATGCTCCACAAAGAATGTATCCCTAAAAACTGCCCAAATGGAGCTTACGAGCACTGGTAGAACTGCAGCTTGGAACTTTACGCTGGTCCTTCAGAGTAGTGTAAGCGGTAGACATTGTTTGGCACCGGGACATCTGGATGGTGAAGAGTGCACAGCCTGCTAGAATGTCCTTGCTTGGTTTTAGCAGCTTTTCAGAGCTTGGTCTGGGGAAAAAAAAAAAAAAAAGTTATATCTCTCCTAGGAAGAAGGTGATATCTTGAGCCTATTTTTAAGTAAGTAGGATACATTCTGAACTGTATTTGAATCTCAGGAACTAAAAACAATATATACTCTGAAAATCATTTGCTGTAAACTGTCAGAAGAGTTAAGAAACTACTGGGAACAGAAAATGAGAAAAACATGCATGAAAGTTTAGATCCTTTTCCTAATATAAAAGCTGTTTAGCTGTATTCTGAAATTAAGCCATTGCAGAAGAAAACATCTACAATATCTTCATTGTCTAGCATTTTGAATAATTAATAAATCGGGGTGTTTTCTTTTGGCAGGATGAGAAGCACAGAATGCAAGAGGAAAATGTTAAACTAAAAAAGGCCCTGGAAGAAAGTCACAGGTGTTTGATTAAGTATTAATAAGCTATAAAGTTATTTGGGGGCGATGGGAAAGAGGACACGTTTGTTATACTTTGGTGTTGATTCCAACCAGACACTGCCTTGCAATATACCAGAAAGACATTTGGAAGCTGAAAAGGGTAAATAATAAACCAGAGAACACATGTTAAGCCAAACCTAGTAGACTAATTCAAAAGAAAAAAGAGTAACCAGGCTGTTCTCAGACTCCTTGCTGATTAATCCCCAAACTCAGATTATCACTTAAAAGTTTACTTCTCTTATTTACTGAATTGGTGTCCCAGGAGAATGAGGCATAGGTCGTAGCATTTATTAGGTTCTTAAATGTTTTTGAGTATGACTTGTTTCTACCTGTGTGCTAAGCTTCAAATAAATACTCATTTCCCTTATCTCTTATTTTTCCTTTCTCTTAAGGGTCTGAAACAGCTTAACTTTATTTCTTCTTTCTTAACTCATCTGATTTGCACACTGTGAAGGGCCTAGGATCATTTGAAGGAAACTGACTTTATTTTAGTTATTTTAGCAGGTTAGAAATATAACAATATCACATAGTGCCACTGCATTAGAAAATGATGGTGGTCTTGGGACCAGCAGTTGGCATAATGGCCATGTCGTTGTACTCCCATTTAATCGACTGTGGTTCAAGTCCCAGACCTGGTGGCTTAAATTCACACCAAGTGTATGTGTGTGTGTGCCCAAGATTCTGAGAGGAGAATGGATCCCGAGAGGAGAATGGAGGAGAAGGGATTGCCGTGTGGCCATCCCCTCTGGGGGGTGATTTCTCGCTTTCTGTCACTCTGTCTCTCACTGTCTTTCTGGTGAGCTCACAGGCCCTATAGCAAAAAACTCTCAAAAAAAAAAAAAAAAAAGTTACGGTGGTCTAATTATGTGACACTCTGGAAAAGGTGAAACCATGGAGACAGGAAAAAACATCTTTGCTTGCCAGGGATTCGGGGGGTGAAAAAGCAGAACAGAGAGGATTTTTAGGGCAGTGAGACTACTCTTTATGACACTCTGATGGTGGGTAATTTCATCATACCTTTGTCCAAACCTGTAGGACATACAATACCAAGAGTGAACCGTAATGTAACAGGCAACAGTGGTGTGTATCTCAGTAATAATGATGTAAACTCATCATTACTAAGATAAAATACCACTCTGGTGGGAAATATTGGTAGTGGAGGAGGTTATGAAGGGGCACAGCGGGGTATATATGGGAAATCTCTGAACTTGCTACTCACTTATGTTGTGAACCTGAAACTGCTCTAAAAATAAAAGTCTATTAAAAAGGACGGCAGGTACCAGCTGGTGGTATGGCGTTTGAG